ACATCGTCAGCAGCTGCACGGCGCTATAGATAGAAGCTGTCAGACGCAGAATGTAGCACCGTGCCTGGAATAGCAGCTAGACGTCACAACATCTGCACTCTACCGGGACGTTTGGCGACAAACACAGCTACTTGTGGTACTACTACTGAGTGTACACTTATCCATGATTGGCGTGGGAAAAACCTAATACATCAGTATGTCATCAGTCGCTTTGGTTGTCTCTGAAGACGGCGCAGAGTGATGAATAGCATGGTTGTCACCGGATCCGCCGATATGGGACTGCAATGTTAGCGCTACCCAAGTGACTTAAAGTTCATCCTACCAAAATATATGACACTTAGAAATCACAGGTTTCAGTCTGCGAAGATATTTTATAAACAAGTGGAGAACATGTTATTTTTTTATCTCCTATTATTGAAATCCTATACCTTCGACGAACAACCTTCTTCTGATATGTTAAGGCTTAACTTATAATTACAGAGAGGGAGAGGGAGAGAGAGGGGGAGGGAGAGAGAGAGAGACAGACAGACAGACAGACACACAGACACACACAAACACACACACACACACACACACACACACACACAGACCTTTGTAGATCGCCATCGTCACTATTGTCATATAACTTGTGATAATTTAATATATACTACTCAAAAGAAGTTAAGGATCACCTGATTCTTTCATATTACAATAGTCAATCTCTCATGCCATGACAGATTAACATTACCAATATGAAAGAATCGGGTGATCCTTAACATATTTTGAGTAGTATACCCCTAAAGAAAAGGATGCCGGTACAATTATTTTCAGTAATTGTTACTCAGGGTTATAACTATTGTTTCATGCAGATTGGCTTGTTCACGCCAATTGATCCATAGCAACGTGTCATCATGTCAACACATGGTCGCAGTCGATGAAGATGACGGCATCAATTCTTCATGACGTCACAACTATACACTGAGCTGATGTCACCACTTTTGATGTGAAACCCCACATTTGTCTCCGTTTTCACAGAAAAAGACGATGGTTAATGTATAATAACTCGGAATCAACGGTTTTCTGTACTTCGTGAAATAATGTTTAATATCACTCAACAAGGCCTGGAACTTACAAAATTCATTCACTCGGGAAAGATAATCCGCAGTGTCTCGTAGCTCATAGGCTATTCTAATAAATGTGAAGTTGGTTTTTTTGTCAAAAAGAAAACGTCAAATTTTCAGTGTTTCTTTGTGTCGTGTGCAGTGGTTGGTTAACAGTCGTCGCGGGTTAGTGGTCAAACGTTTGAAAGATGAATTCCAACTCATATATTATGACAGATTGTCACAAGATGGGATGTAAATAGGGCTCCTGTAGTAGACACAATTTAAAATATGTGTGTCTGGATACTTTGTTCAGATATCTGACACTGTTTCGTGCAAGCATGGGTGCGGTCGGGTAGCCTAGTGGTTAAAGCGTTCGCTCGTCACGCCGAAGACCCGGGTTCGAATCCCGACATGGGTACAATGTGTGAAGCCCATTTCTGGTGACCCCCGCCGTGATATTGCTGGAATATTGCTAAAAGCGGCGTAAAACCAAACTCACTCACTCACTCCTGCAAACATGCATACATACTCAATGTTCATGAGTTTTTACCTATACCTCCAATACGAACCATGATTGACATATGAACAAAATGGAGCAGGACACGGTTACCCCAGTCGGGAACACCTTGTGTCATCGCTGTATTTTAGTGATCCATTCATATACTTTTCACTGCAATTTTGCCTTTCACGTCCAATGGAATCTGTTTCGGTGGATAACCGTGATTGGCTTTTCATTGACGTTTTTAGGGCTGGGACGAGTCCAGATTTACTACCCGGGTACCCACCCCCCTATTACCCAACCCTACCCGGGTACCCACTCTAGATCTTAGGAGATGTCTCAAAATGTCCGATTGGGAACATTTTTAGTATAGCCCTGGAAAACTGTATTTAGATACATGTATTAAACAATCTGGTCACACATACACTGAAGTTGAATTAAGTTATATCTTTATTCAACCATATGAAAAATCAGAAGGAATGGGTGCATAGTCAAAAAGAAATTAGTGACTTGTAGTGTAACCATAGAGTTAAATTTTGTCATTAAACAATATATCACGTGACTAACCACGGGTCCGGGTAGTCCTGTGGGTACCCGGGTCCTACTCAGTACCCACCCGACCCGGGTACCCAAGTGACCCGTCCCAGCCCTAGACGTTTTATATAATATATTTATATAAAAGTTTGAAATGATATTCATCTATGTAGAATGAATTGTACAGTGTCGTTGAGTCTTCTATGGTGGTGCTTCGGCGAATCGTGTCATCCAAACTACGCGGTGCTGATGTAGGCTTCCTGGGGGATTAATGTAGAATGAATTGTACAGTGTCGTTGAGTCTTCTATGGTGGTGCTTCGGCGAATCGTGTCATCCAAACTACGCGGTGCTGATGTAGGCTTCCTGGGGGATTAATGTAGAATGAATTGTACAGTGTCGTTGAGTCTTCCATGGTGATGCTTCGGTGAATCGTGTCATCCAAACTACGCGGTGCTGATATAGGCTTCCTGGGGGATTAATGTAGAATGAATTGTACAGTGTCGTTGAGTCTTCTATGGTGGTGCCTCGGCGAATCGTGTCATCCAAACTACGCGGTGCTGATGGAGGCTTCCTGAGGGATTAACGAAGGGAAGGATTAGTCTTCTGAGCGTCATTGACTCAGACTGCATGTGTTATGTCAACGTTCTAGCAAATGCGGAACAACACGCTCACATTCCAAGCTGTGCGGCTCTGCTGATATATCGCCAGGACAGTGCTCTGTGTATACAAACAAACATGTCGTCTGCTGTTGCAGATGTACACAAGTCTTGTTGTGTTATATTCCAGAGAGCATCGGCATCTGACTTTTTTAACACTAACTTCAATATAAATCTTTGGACGAATTTCGTTGTTAATGGTTCTTCACAAAATCTTAGGCTAATTTAACGGGCTGAGAATAAAATGCCAAGCCATTCCAATTTTGTAAGTTTATATTTAGTTGAATTACTATTATCTCAAAACAGAGCTAAACAGACAGTAACTTGATGACCTCCACGCGGCTATCTAGCCTCCCGGCTCACACGCTGAACATTCTCCAGACAAAATAAACAGCTGCAGCTGTACGTTACGTGATTTTAGCAAACATGCATGACGTCATTGCCCGCGCCCCCTGTGTAAAACTTCGACACTCTCACCGACTGTGAAGCTTTAAATGCACACGCTAGTATATTTTATGTTCTGTTGTTATTATGCAATAACTATGTGAAATGTCTTTGATATAATGTGAACCAATTCCATGAATTTGCTGTGAAAAATGTCCTATAGTTACGAGATATACAGTGTGTGTGATAATTTGGTAATGTTTTATAAACAAGTACAAGTCATAAGTTATATTTCACCTCTTTCAAAGATCGCTGTACCAAACAGCAAAATTGCGTGTGTTTTTTTATTTACAATGCTACTTCTCAGATTACACGTTACTCAATGAACCAGGAAACTTCATCCCAAGAAAAGAATGGGCGTGACAAGCATGTGATTCACGCGTCAATCTCATCTTCTATACGCCTTCTGCACGGACCATCATCCTAGGTGCCTTATAAAGCTAGCATGTGACACCCAACTTCACACTCATAGCCAGACAGTGAGCAGGACCAATGCTCGTGGTTCCAGCGAGGTTCCATATATAGTCATCTCTTGAGCACTAACCTAACGCGCTCGCGCCAGCCTTGTACACTCCAGCGTGACATACGATCCCTCACTGCCGGGCTGCTTAGTCTACACTCAAATTTATCGTTACCATAGAAACCAAACTTCTATTGGTAGCGTTATGGAAATACCTGTAAACCAAAGCATTGGTAACCTTGTACAGAGAAGCGTTCACGTTTACGCATTGTATTGTCCAAACAACTGTATCAAGTTACGTCCTGATACCAGAATATGCAAACCGTGAGATAAATATTAAAACAGACTTAACGTTATATCAAACAAATTAACAAAAGACCAATGGATGTTACAAGAATGATTTATATTGGTGGGTATTTGTTTTCCAGAGAGGTTCATTGCCCCGGACAATACGTATGTATCTCAAATGGCGTGATGTTTAACGTTATCCTGCGGTGGTCAACGTTATGTTACAGATCCCTATCTCGTCGAAAATGTAATGTTAAATACCCATTGTGATTGGATTGATGACCTATGTATAGAAACAGATGATACTACCAATGCCACGACGTTTGGTTATGGACTAACATATGATCAGCCATGGCGTCAAACCTGTGCACAGATGAGCGAGTATTTGCAATAGAAAAAATTGATGGCATTTGTAAAACATCGTGATGGAAGCACCTAGCTTGCTACTGACAACAACCCGTCTCCTGTTGGGTATTAATATTATTCATTCAAAGCAACGGCATGACATGAATGTCCCTATTTGTACCCGCATTATGTAATTATGTAAGAATGGTTTTGTGAATCAATGCGAAGTTCAAGTAGATATACATGCATACATATGTAAATGATGCTACGTGTATCAGGTATTCAACAGCAGGTCAAAAGGATATAGCATTTCAAAGGATGATAACGGAGTATCTGGAATTCTTGTGCGTACCTCTTCTGGCTAGGTTCTAACGATCTATGGAGACAAATATCTTAATTAGTTATATGATCGTAGTGGGCAGCTTGAAACGGCGAGTCTGATATCACTATCACGACTAATCTTTAAACCATTCCCCCTAACTTGACAACCCCCCGCGCAGATCAAGGTGCTAGTTTATCAATTGACGGTCAAACCATGTATTCCATATTCAGGTAGCGTCTTGTCTCTTGTCTCGTAAGTTTTCATTGGTTAATGATTCTCGCTCAACCAATAAGACCGAGTTTAACGAAATAGCTCTACGCCCTTGGGCATATGGCCCGGAGTATAAATTAGCCGAGCTCGAGCTCGCGTTCAGAACAGCTTTTAAACGTAAGTATTTGAAGTGTGTGTGTCTCCCTCTTTCACAATTTAAAAGGTACCCTAGTGTTTTAAACCCAATCCAAACCTCATCCTTTATTTGAACCACACCCTTGTTACCCCAAAATACCCTTTGCACGATTTTAGAGTTTTCTTTTACTTTTGTTTTTTGTCGTGTTACTGATCCATACTCCATGCCGGCGTTTACCATTGCCACAACTCTCCTAACATTTTACTTCACCTCGCTTGTTATATTTGAACGGAGTTTAACGTGTGTGCCGGGTTAGGCGATTTACCTCGCCTATAGAGCCGGTGCGGAGTCCTGTGGATACTTGGAGCTCTCTGCTGATTCCTGGATAGTGCTTCCATACATTTCTCTGGATTGTGGACTATTTTCTGTTCTGTGTGGACGTTTTATAATCGGGTGTTTAGTCTTCTAGTTAACCCCTGTTTACACGTTTACTTATATTAATAATGTGGCGTTTTTTAAAATGTATTTTATGCATTCTAAAAAGCTTTGTGTCCTTAATGGTCTATTTCAACTGTGGTCACAATTCACCACAATCCTTTATGTGCATCTGAGCTATATTATGGAACATATTTGTTTATTTGCATTATGAATGACATGGCATAGCGGTGTTCCTTACATTCCGTCTCTGACTCGCTCCCACATAGTTTTCTGAGTGAGATTCCGCGAAGCATACCTGTGGAAGATAATGAATTAGGTAATACTGATATAGAATGTGACTTGAATTACAAACATCATTCGGAGATGCGAAACACTTTATAACCATACATGTAATTCATAAAATGCACTGGTAAAACATCGTTATTTGAGGCACACATATTCCTCATCTTCTGCAGACGCGCCTTGGGGGTGACAATTATCCTGTACGGTTAATACTATTGTAGGCGTGACTTTGTTAGTCAAATATAGGAGAAATAACGATAAGGCTTATATCACATTACATTTTCTGATCCCATAGAAATTTTTTAAAATGTTTTTTTTATATATCGTAACTTTATAGTTCTGAGGTGAAGCTATACAGTCCAATTGTACGAAGATGGCTGTGCTTGTTTTAAAATAGTAACATTGCCGGCCCCGACTATGTTAGCGAGCGCCAGTTTATAATGAGCAGCACTAATGTTATACGTAGGCGGGAACACGCCACGACACGCCTCTAAGTTTTATGGGAGGGCCTAATTCCATATTAGGAAAAGAGATACAAACCGTCTGTGATCCATCGCGACGCTAGGTACAGCTCTGCAAAGGAAATGAAACATAGAAAGTATTTGTTAATGTCAGCATTCTATAAATATGACTTGTGTAAATTGAAACCCAGCATATTTGCATCAATTATTCAATATGTGACAGCTCGCTAAGGCAGTCTGATGTTTAACCTCTAAATGAGTGCTATCAAGGACAAACACATGAATGAGCTACATACGCTCTACTCGAGGCGATTTCCCTTAATCTTATGCTAATACCTGAAATGTATTAAAACGTGGTACCTGGCGTATGTACAAATGTGAATATTCTTAACGTTAATAGTTTCTAACATCAGGATATGTCAATCGCATCCCACCTGTGAGTGAGTGAGTGAGTGAGTGAGTGAGTATATGGGATTATGCGGGGATTAAGTTACATTGGCTCTTATCGATCACTAAATGCTGTCATTAAAATGATGTATAGATAATATATACGAAGTTGTCACCGAGCGGAACTTGTTTACATAAATTAAACAAAGCAGTATTCACTGGAAAATTGGATTAGATCAAAACATTTCAAAAGTTATCTAAACGTTACTGAGCTGCAAACAGTTGCCGAAAAACTGCAAATTTAAGGCCCAAAACACAACCATTATATCCGTATCAAATACATCACCATCGAATAACTATTTCTTGTTTGTTTCATTTTTTGCCACCATCAAAACATGGGCGTTTGCTTTTTTGTCCGGCAGTTTATATACCCTACTGAAACAACAATGCGTCTGCTACAATAACAGCAACGATTCATCGATACTTCACAACAGGTGCTAGATCTATTTAGAATAAATGTTAAGTCTTCGAATGTAATTTCCTTTTTCTTATGAGGAAATCCAAGTATGAATGACGGCGCCCATCAATCACTAAACCCTAGTGAGAGTAACTTTATGAACTAGTAGTTGACATGTAGCATCTTTCCCATTAATGTGTACTCATCTCAACAGCTGTGTTCTTGAGCTAATGAGCAGCGTTGTATTCTTTAAAGTTATTTGTGAAACATAAAGTGTAATTTGTTAAGGAAATAGTATATACATGAGCGTGTGCGCGTGCGTGCGTGCGTGCGTGCGTGCGTGCGTGTCTTCTCCCTGAAGATAAAGCTGAAACATGTAGGAGAACAATCCGTGTTGTGTAATTATTTTGTGAATAATATTTATGGAAATACGTAAAGTGGCGTAAGATATACGTACATACTTTGGTATATAAATGCAATATATACAATATGACTCTACAAAAGTGAGTGAGTGAGTGAGTGAGTGAGTGAGTGAGTGAGTGAGTGAGTGAGAGAGATTTTACGCCTCGTTTTACCGCACATAATCAGCATCACGACAGATGAAAACGATCCATTCTATCTATACACATTGCAATGCTTGTATTGTTGCTCGTTGAACGCCGCAGTCAATCGTGCCCCAGCTATATCTAGGTAAATAATCGAGCAAACAGACAAACCAGTGATTGCAATTATGATTAACAACCGCCGCCTTCGGGTACCACGTCACCGGCTCACTGAGTGTGACCACCCGATCCACTAAGTCGTCTCGTACGACAATCATGGTATCAGGGTATGAACATTAAATTTGGAGTAGTCTTCAAATGAGCGCAGTTTTTGAGAATCTGATGGGTTAAGTAAAATAGTCTATTAAATGCATTCATTTTTCAGTTTGTGATTCACATTATAAATGTCCTATTTCGTGCATGATTCGAATGTAATCAATGGAGAAGTAGTTTCCCACGTGGGTTGCAGTCTACTCAGTTACACAGTAACAGTCTACATAGTTACACAGTAACTGTCTACTTAGTTACACAGTAACAGTCTACTCAGTTACACAGGAACAGTCTACATAGTTACACGGTAACAGTCTACTCAGTTACACAGTAACAGTCTTCTCAGTTACACAGTAACAGTCTACATAGTTACACAGTTACAGTCTACTCAATTACACAGTAACAGTCTATATTGTAGCACAGTAACAGTCTACATAGTTACACAGTAACAGTCTACATAGTTACACAGTAACTGTCTCCTTAGTTACACAGTAACAGTCTACTCAGTTACACAGTAACTGTCTACACAGTAACACAGTAACAGTCTATATAGTAGCAAAGTAACAGTCTACTCAGTTACACAGTAACTGTCTACACAGTAACACAGTAACAGTCTATATAGTAGCACAGTCACAGTCTATATAGTAGCACAGTAACAATCTATATAGTAGCACAGTAACAGTCTACTCAGTAACACAGTAACACTCTCTACAGTTACACAGTACCAGTCTACACAGTTACACAGTAACAGTCTACTCAGTTACACAGTAACACTCTCTACAGTTACACAGTTACAGTCTACTCAGTTACACAGTTACAGTCTACTCAGTTACACAGTAACACCCTCTACAGTTACACAGTAACAGTCTACTCAGTTACACAGTAACAGTCTACACAGTTACACAGAAACAGTCTACTCAGTTACACAGTAACACTCTCTACAGTTACACAGTAACAGTCTACACAGTTACACAGTTACAGTCTACACAGTTACACAGTAACACTCTCTACAGTTGCACAGTAACAGTCTACTCAGTTACACGGTAACAGTCTACTCAGTTACACAGTAACAGTCTACTCAGTTACACAGTAACATTCTATTCAGTTACACAGTAACAGTCTACTCAGTTACACAGTAACTGTCTACTCAGTTACACAGTAACACTCTCTACAGTTTCACAGTTACAGTCTACACAGTTACACAGTAACACTCTCTACAGTTACACAGTTACAGTCTACACAGTTACACAGTTACAGTCTACTCAGTTACACAGTTACAGTCTACTCAGTTACACGGTAACAGTCTACTCAGTTACACAGTTACAGTCTACTCGACATTTATGCATCTAAAGAGCGGTACATCTTTTAGGATCGACTTTTTATCAATAGTCTCGTACCATAAACATCTCTCTTCTGATTGTATAAAAACTAAATTATGATCATATTAACTGTCACAATTTTGTACGAACCGCACTGTAACGACCAGTATTTAGGAATGTGACGATTTAGGTGCTTGATTTCGGTCTGTTCAGTCCGTCCTCAACCATGACAATATATGTGTACTCAGTTATGCTTTTAGAATCTATTGGTTCGGTCCCCATATCTAAGGTAGTCGACTTGAAAACTAAGGGCGCGGACGCCACAAAGGCGCGGCATTAAATGCCAAAACCTCTACTCCAGATGCAAATTGTATGCGATGTGTAAATTATTTAAGAGACATAAGAATATATTTACGCGTAGTTTGCCTAGGATTGTGACCATTTGTTTCACACGAAAATCCCAGATGTTTAATGTACATTAACGTCATCCGTTCTTTGGTGCGGTTGACTGTACATGCTTATAGAGAAGGGGGTGCGGGTGGGGGGGTGGGGGGGTGGGGGGGGGGTGGGGGGGGGGGGGGTTGTTGTTTAACGCCGCATTCAGCAATATTCAAGCTATATGACGGCGGTTTTTTAATAATCGAGTCTGGACCAGAATATCCAGTGATTGACATCATGAGCATCGATCCACGCGATTGGGATACGACGTCATGCATCAACCAAGTCAGCGAGCCTGACCACCCGATCCCGTTAGTCGCCTCTCACGACAAGCTTAGTCGCCTTTAACGACAAGCATGGGTTCCTGAAGACCTACTCTTCCCCGGATCTTCACGGGTCTTATAGAGAGTGCATACACAAAATATATGGTTTATTTTGTGAAATAACAAATATCATTCATCATCTACTTGTGATAATTACATTATTTGTATTAACAACACTTCATTTTTTCTTCCCCAGCTAGGCTATCTAGGGCTGTTCTGCTCGACTTCAGTTGGCCTGGTGAACACCTTGTGTTGTCCATCATCTTCAGGCAAACTCCCGATTTCGGGTTGCTGTAATTTTCGAGGAGCTTTGCCCCGAGTCCATCATCTAAAATGGCGTCCTACGACCCCAAAGACCCGGATATGTTGTATCTTGCTGTCGACCGCAAGAAAATGATGAAGGAAATGGTAACACCCTTTGACGGCAAGAAAGCTTGCTGGGTTCCTGATGAAAAGGAAGGATTCAGAGCTGCTGAAATCCAGAGCACCAAGGGAGAAGAGATCACCGTCAAGACAGACAAGCTGGATGTAAGCTCCCCAGTTTTTGCAAATAGTTTACGTGCATTCCTTACAAGACAGGTGCCAAGTCCATAAACGACCTATTGACGTCAATGAACAACGTGAGCCAAAATAGTCATGAGCAAAAACCAGCTCAAACTCGCTGGCAGCCATGACACATAGTTTAGGCAAGGAAAGAAACTCCATATCTATTTCCTTCCTTTCGGATTTCATAGAACTAACATTAAAACCGGACTTTTTACCCTACAAAACCAAAATTGCAAAAAACAATTCCTTCACACGGCATTGAACACGTGGTGTATCACTGATTTTCAGTGATCCATTCATATGATTTTCACCCTAAAATTGCATTTTACGCCCAATGTAATCTGTTCGACAGATAATCTAGACGGGAGTTGACGGTTTATACTAAATGGACTCCAACGATCATGAGAAAACATCTTTAAACGTTTAACGACCTGAATTTGACATATTTAATATATTGCTATTGATTTCTATGGTAAATAACTCAATGTTTACATGTTCTCAATGTTTCGTCCTCAGGTCAAAACCTTCAAGAAGGATGACATCCAGTCAATGAACCCTCCCAAGTTCGAGAAGATCGAGGACATGGCAAACTTGACATATCTAAATGAGGCTAGCGTTCTCCACAATTTGAGGGCCAGATACGAAGCCGCTATTATCTATGTACGTTTTCGTCCCTCTGTACTTCTATTTAGGCAACATAATTAGATAAGCAGACCTCTACCGCTTTAGCCGCGAATTAATGTTTTAAGGTACAGGTCGATAACAGAAGACAGTTATATATATTTATATATTGGTGAATTAGAGAATGACCAACGAGCTACGAGGAATAACGGTTTCACGAGGGTTAGATAGGCCGTAATTATATTACTCATTGACATTCTAAGGAAGTAAATGAAAATAAAAAGTATTAAATGTCAACCCCACAGATAAATTCTTCAATAAGGACACCCTGTTGTTCAATCTGTCAGCAGAGGGAGCTGGCATAACCAGGCTATTTTGCAGGCTTGACGGAAATAGCTGAACGTGAAAATGCCTGTTGTTCATATCCATTAGTGACGTCATGAACAATGTGCGTCGCCATATTGTATTTTTCTCAACGATGAAGCATTGTGACGTCTAATGACTTCAAATAACCAATCAGCTAAAATGCACCAATGCGGCAAGCATAGTCCGGACCCTAGTATTCTGGACGGACGATAACTATAGTGACTTGACAGAACATTACTATATGCTTATGGCTATTTGATTCGGACTATTTAAAATGGCTTCACAGGAAATAGAATATATAGAGAATCCACTCGAGTGTTTTTTGACATCAAGTATATCAACACGAATCGAAAAACGTTGAAAACTCCGAGTCTTGTCTGTTTATCTATTTGTCATCCAAAATCATTTTCCCAACTTGTTCAGTTTGTAAACAGTAATAGCCAGTCTTGAGAGTGAGAAGTACAGCTAACCAGCTTCAGTGGCAGAGAGATTAGTGATGTCATTTGATTGTGACGTCATGGTAACGATAACGTCACAATGGATTGCATTGTGATGCAGTTTCATTGTAGCGATATCTCCTAGGAGATATCGCTTGATCTTACCCAATATAAGCGATATCTCCTGTGCATACCAGTGATGAATGATATAACCATTGCCCCAGTATAGTTTATGTATTGACTTTTCTTTTATCAGACCGCCTCCGTGGTCTAATGGTAGAGCGTCCGCCCGGAGAGCGGAAGGTCCGGGGTTCGATCCCCAGCCGCGTCATACCAAAAGACATTAAAAGATGGTACTTGTTGTTACCCTGTCTGGCGCTCGGCATTAAGGGGCTAAAACAAGGACTGGTCGGCTCGGAGTCAGTATACTGTGTCTGAGTAGGGTATTCATGTTAAACTGCGGCATGGTATCTCAGTGAGCTAGCACTATAAATCGGCATCAGCCCGGACTAGTACAAGCAGCCACACACACACATACACGTGCATGCACGTCGCTATATAAATAAGTGCAATAATCTTTGACGTGACGTTAAACCCCATTTCACCTCACCTCACCACATCTTTTATCAGACGTACTCCGGCCTCTTCTGTGTCGCCATCAACCCTTACCGCCGTCTCCCCATCTACACCCCGTCCGTCGTGGCCAAATACAGAGGCAAGAGGAAGACCGAGATGCCTCCTCACTTGTTCTCCATCTCTGACAACGCCTACCAGTTCATGGTGCAGGGTGAGTCGTCATCATTTGAAGCCTTTGATACTTTTTCATTCTAAATCTATTCGGTTTAATTGTTTAAAGATTTAAGATGTTGGATACATACCAAAGAAGGTTTCATATGTTCTTGTTGTTAAAAGACTTTTATTCAACAAGTTTATGCTTGAGAAAGAAGAAAAACACCCGACCGAACACTGCGCAGTAGCTTACAAGTAACTTTTCTTTCTGCAGATCGCGAGAACCAGTCTATGTTGATCACGTAAGTTTTAACCTGTGACCTTGACCTCCATTAAAAGTATTTCTATATAAAAAAAATAATGTGACAATGCATAACTCAAGCAAGCAAGTGATTGATGGCATGAACAGCGATCGGGTTACGATGACATACGGTCATCCAAGTCAGACCAACATGTCCTGGTCCTTCGTTAGCATGGGACATGGTGGTTCTCTGAGTCAGAATTCCCACAAGGAACACAATCTTAGGCAGCGTTCATTTTGTTAAGAGAGCCATGTACCATTAGGAGAGGGCGAGTTCTAGGTGTCCGGCAACTGAGCATGGTATTCAGGATGATATCTGGATCATTACAGCGGCGAGTCTGGAGCCGGAAAGACTGAGAACACCAAGAAGGTCATCGCCTACTTTGCCCACGTCGCCGCTGCCGGTGGCAAGTCCGACGAAGATCAAAAGAAGGTTTGTAAAGCTAAAATAATATTCATATTTTAAATATATTATCATCGAGCATATATAATGTAAAACTTACGAAAATGAAAAACAACACCGAAAGAACCAGTCAAATAAACAGAATTGAATAAACTTACAAATTGTCTTGTGACATAACGCTATATTGTTATATTTTAATTGAAATACGTATCAACCTATGCTGCTTATTAATATTCAACCAATACCATATATGTATATTATCTGTATTAATTTCGAATATGTTTCTTTCACCCACCCCAATCACAAACCCTACACAAATCAATAACACGTGTACCACAACTCCCGACCTAACCCACAATAGGGTTCCCTCGAGGACCAGATCGTGCAGTGTAACCCTGTGCTGGAGGCGTACGGTAACGCCAAGACAACTCGTAACAACAACTCCTCCCGATTCGTGAGTATATTAGGGTTCGGTAATGTCCGCCATACCAACCCGAGGAATGACCCCGGCTCGATTCTGTTCAATCCCCATTTAAGTTATCACCTACCTGTATTCAATACTGAATATAAGAATTATTATTTAATCTAATTATTCTTTCTCTCACAATTTTCCCTTTACTCATTATTTTATGGTTAATTCGAAATGCCACCCTTAATAACAAGCCCCAATTGGTTTATCCCTAATCAGCTTAACAAGTTAATATACCTTAACATATAAGACTATAAGACTTAACAAATAAGTTGAATAATTCACCTTCTAACAACACTTTTCTACGACATTGTTTCTTATCTTCGTCTAACAAGTGTTCCACCTTATTAATAGTGTGATCCTACCTTTACTTCCAAACTCAGACCTCATGGAGATGGACTTTGAGTGAGTCAACACTAAGACCATGCTCAGTGATGTAATCATGGTGCTTTTTCTTAACAGGAGTAAGTAATGCATACCTTGAGATGTGGGTGTTACATGGTGTACTCTAGACGTATCACGCTTTAGTCAAACATGTACTCAAGTTCTATTCGTATTAGTGTCAAGCATGCATATAGCTAGACAATATAGTCGGCTTGATAGGCACAGGATCTACATAGAACAGATAGCATGATATGAATAGGTAGGTAATGTGTGTATACCAATATATGCATCCACAAGGGTAAGCGATGTATGCACACCGCAAGGATCGGGTAGACAGCATATTTAGAATTTAGAGTGTGTCGCTGAAAAAATACCACATATGTGTTTCATTAGAACCGTAGTCCTATGGTACCTTTTATAGATATATATTGAACAAAGGTCCTATACTGTATCTTAGCATGATGCACGTTACTCTCCTGACTCCTTGGCACTCTGTTCTGTATACCGTAGCATTAGGACAAAGTTACATCACCTGAAGGGTTTTGCCTCTCATATCATATCTGAATAGGACTGTTATAATGTATTCAAAACATGCTGCTTCTAATACTTACACCTAGTTGCATATGTCAAATGGCAATGGTATGTGTTCAACATATTTAATTGTTATCGATCAGTGAAATTGAAAGGTTGCTTTTCAGAACCATCTTGATCGGTAGGACATGTATTAGGTATTAAACGCTGAATATATTCCAACGTGTCTCCGTGAGCTCTATGAGACTATGGGTCATGTTTTACACATGCTTTAAATGACTTGCGCTTATTTGTTCTGAAACTGCCACTTGGTGTCACAGACGTGTCATATATCATCTTCAGGGAAAGTTCATCCGTATCCATTTTGGTACCTCTGGAAAGATCGCCGGAGCTGACATTGAGACCTGTAAGTATCACATGGATAGGGCTGAAATGTCATTGTTATGTAATTATAATGTCATTGTAATGTCATTGTTATGTCATTGTAATGCCATTGTAATGTCATTGTTATGTCATTGTAATGTCATTGTAATGTCATTGTTATGTCATTATGGCATTGTAATGTCATTGTTATTGCATTGTTATGGCATTGTTATGTCATTGTAATGTCATTGTTATGTCGTTATGGCATTGTTATGTCATTGTTATTGCATTGTTATGGCATTGTTATGTCATTGTAATGTCATTGTTATGTCATTGTTATGTCATTGTAAAGTCATTGTAAAGTTATTGTTATGTCATTGTAATGTCATTGAAGTCACGCATTTTAAACGCTCTGCTTAAAATCAAACGTGTAAATACGTAAGGATATTCATATTCGAATCTCTATCACAAAAAATAGTTTTAAAAACCTGGACAAATTCATTATGACATAGGGACAATGGTCATGGCACCATTGAAATACCCTCTCCTGCATGTGAAATGCTGATACAACACACTGGTATATGATGTGAACATCGTTTGTTGATGACCATCATCATTTGTATGTAGAAGTATGCTACACAGCCGACTCTCAATACCTCGAGTGGAAGGTCGAACACATTGTTCGAACCTTGGAGACGAATAGAGTGTGCAGTGTTTTATAGTGCACATCAATGTGAAGATGTACATGATGATTATTTTTTATTTTCTTGCCTACCAGACTTGCTGGAGAAGTCTCGCGTGACGTTCCAACAGTCCGCCGAGAGAAACTACCACATCTTCTACCAGATGTGTTCCAACGCCATCCCTTCAATCCCCGGTAGGTATTTACCCCCCTATTCACGTAGTATCTACCCTCCTATTCATTTCATATTTACCCTCCTATTCATATTGCATTTAGCATCCTATTCATGTAGTATTTACCCTTCTCTTCATGTTATATTTTGCCTCCTATTCATGTAGTATTTACCCCCCTATTCACGTAGTATCTACCCTCCTATTCATTTAATATTTACCCTCCTGTTCATATAATATTTTCCCTTCTATTCATGTAGTATTTGCCCTTCTATTCATGTAGTATTTACCCTGCTATTCATGTAGTATTTACCCTCCTCTTCATGTAATATTTTGCCTCCTATTCATGTTATATTTACCCTCCTGTTCATGTAGTATTTACCCTCCTGTTCATATAATATTTTCCCTTCTATTCATGTAGTATTTGCCCTTCTATTCATGTAGTATTTAACCTGCTATTCATGTAGTATGTACCCTGCTATTCATGTAGTATTTACCCTGTTATTTATGTAGTATTCATGTATCACGAAACATTGACTGCATGCGGCATCATTATCAAAACTACCACGTGTTTATTTAACAACGTCTTCCTTCCCCAGAGAAGATCCTGTGCACGCCTGACCCCGGTCTCTACTCCTTCATCAACCAGGGCACCCTCACGGTCGACGGTATCGATGACGTCGAGGAAATGAAAATTACAGATGTGAGTTAAAACATAGTCCCTTAAATATAAAACCAATGTCCAACCCAGGTTATTTTCTGGACAACCTAGTACCTCTGCCAATTACATAAGTTCCACACATTTAGATATTAAAAGTCGAGAACATTGATATAATCTCAAAAAACGTGAAAACCTATTTTCATTTGCGTATTTATTCTTCTTTTAAAATTGTTGTTCGCTTCAACGTGCAGACAACTAGATCCAATAGGATGGCAGTAAAGATGCTGTTTTTTTATGATCTTTGATATTAAGGATATCCTTTATCACTCCTCCTTAATTATGAGAAACAATGTGTAAATATTGAAAAAAAACCATTTTACTGGGACTTCCAAAACACATTTTTGTTTACAAACAAGAGTAAAGACTGGTCGCTTGATGCGCAAATTAGCCCTGGCAATGATGTAATTCTAAGTCATCATTGCGCAAGAGCCGCAATTTGACCTCAGTCCTTTACAGAAAACCTTGTACATCCAATCATTATTGTACTATTGTGGTGACAGAGTTCCTACGATGTTCTTGGATTCACGGAGGTGGAAAAGAACAGCATGTACAAGTGTACTGGCACCATCCTCCATCTTGGTGAGATGAAGTTCAAGCAGAGAGGCGAACAGGCCGAGGCTGATGGAAGTGGAGGTATGACCTGTCATAGTTGTTACTGTACATTTGCTCTATGAGTACACTTTTGTTTGTTTGTTTGTTTGTTGTTTAACACCGCACTAAGCATTATTCCAGCTGTATGACAGCGGTCTGTAAATAATCGAGTCTGGACCAGACAGTCCAGTGATTGACATCATGAGCATCGATCCAAGCTATTGGTATACGATGTCATGCGTCAACCAAGTCAGCGAGCCTGACCACCCGATCCCATTAGTCGCCTCTTACGAAAGGCATTGTCACCATTTACAGCAAGCATGGGTTGCTGCAGATCTATTCTACCCCGGATCTTCACGGGTCCTATGAGTACATTGAAACCCCTTTATTCTCGTGCGGTAGCATTCAGTGTGAAATCGTCCGTATTAACAAATTTCCAGATGAACGAATCTTGACTAATGTAAACAGTAAGCGTCCAATAGACGGATTTTTCTTGCGTAATGGGTTTCAATGTACATTTAATAGTGTGGAATAGCTTTCCAAATACATGTATATCAAAATATTTGTAAGATGGTATTGTTTCGATATTATTTTTGTTTCGTTAAGCTGCGTGTGGATTCTCGGACATGAAAGGTCCTCAGTAATACATGGTTGTCGAAAGTCGGCTACAATGAGGTGACACTGTGACACGCGGTTGTTTGTGTGTATTCGAAACCCAACGATGTGGGCAGCTGTTCACGATATCCACCTCTAGTGTGCATGTCCGTGACATAGCTGGACTATTGCTGCCATGCTACTTTCGCTCTCTCACTGTTTCGTACCATTGGCCTTGACTAGTTTATACTCCTATCTTGCAGAGGCCGAAAAGGTATCCTTCCTCTTAGGTGTGAACGCCGGTGATCTTCTGAAGTCTTTGCTCAAGCCCAAAATTAAGGTCGGCGCCGATTACGTCACCCAGGGCCGTACCAAGGAGCAGGTATGTCGTCACGCCAATTTCAATATTTCTTATAATGTAAAGACTTGATTCTCACTCTTTTTCTGATTTGATAATATTTTGGAGTGACTACGGTATTTATGTGGTCAAAAACCGGAATTATGAACGTAAATTCGATACTGCTATATTTCCAGGTGGTGAACTCGGTTAATGCCCTGGCTAAGTCTCTGTACGATCGTATGTTCAAATGGTTGGTCTTGCGAGTTAACATCACTCTCGACACAAAGAAGCCAAGGCAGTTCTTCATCGGCGTGCTGGATATCGCTGGGTTCGAGATCTTTGATGTAAGTTCGGCATAGCTGAAACTATTTACGTAAATATGCTATCAGAAACATTATCAATTCTGAGTTATCCAAGTAAGCAGAACCTAAATGAATCCCAAAACGTGTTCTGTAATAAATCCTTGTTTACAAAAAAATCCGATCGGTGTCCAATGTAATCTGCCCTTTTGTGAACAGTTCAACAGCTTCGAGCAGCTGTGCATCAACTACACCAACGAGCGTCTGCAGCAGTTCTTCAACCACCACATGTTTGTCCTGGAGCAGGAAGAATACAAGAAGGAGGGCATCCAATGGGAATTCATTGACTTCGGCATGGATTTGCAGGCCTGTATTGAGCTCATTGAAAAGGTAGGACCACACATCCATGTTACAATAAATGTGATCCATGCCTTCTCAGTTATGAACAAACACAAAAACAAGTATTTGATGACTAAAATAGCGTGACATTGATCTGTATCAATGTCTCTCGTTTCAGCCTATGGGTCTATTGTCCATCCTGGAAGAAGAGTGCATGTTCCCCAAGGCGTCTGACAAGACCTTCAAGGACAAGCTGTACACCAACCACATGGGCAAGTCTCCCAACTTCCTCAAGCCGGATAAGAAGCTCAAGGGAGGCGCCCACGGTGACTTCTGCCTGAAGCATTATGCTGGAACTGTGAGTTCTGTCACAAACTACCCTATGCGATACCTACTGTTGGGCGATCTTCTAAACATCTGCCATTTCGTATACCAACATAAGTACTAGTTGACTGATAGATAGTACACAATCAATGTAAGCATGACATTATTCTGCTTTTGGCAGTTTTCTTGTGAAAATTGAAAGGGTTTTGTCGCTTCTATTTGAACTAGTTTACATGTTCTGATTTGGTTAGATGTATCATGATAATCCGTTTGGAAACAAACAAATCAATAGGCATCTCAAGTCACCATCGATTGTTGCGAAACAGAAAAACATGTTCTCACCTACTGGAAGCATCACAAGACCTAACAGTTTGTTATAAATGTTCACTTCCGGTAACACATTGCTTGACTGTTATGAAGGGGAACCAAAAATTCGGGGTAATCGGAAGTTAATATCCCCTTTTCCCTCTACAGGTGCCCTACAACATAACTGGCTGGCTGGAGAAGAACAAGGATCCCATCAATGAGACTGTAGTGGAACTGTTGTCTCACTCCAAGGAATCCCTGGTTCAGACCCTCTTCCCAGCGGCGGCTCCTGCAGGTGGGTAGTGAGTGAGTGAGTGAGTGAGTGAGTGAGTGAGTGAGTGAGTGAGTGAGTGAGTGAGTGAGTGAGTGAACGAGCGAGTACGCCCAAAATCTCAGCAATATCAATGCGGACTACACAAGAAATGAGTTGTACGCATTGTACCACTAAAGTATAGATGTTACAGTTTGTCAGTGTCGCTTTTTTAATAAATATGAATTCATATTGATTACAGAGGGAGGCGGTGGCAAGAAGAAGAAGAGCTCAGCTTTCCAGACTATTTCTGCAACCCACAGGGTAAGTTATCATCATTTATTAGAACAAGGCTCTTTAATGCCCGATGTACGTACACCGCTGGTATTTGTATTCTACACATTTGTGTGTATATCGTCAGTTACATTGCGAATATTTAAAAGAACTATGGAATACCGTGCATTATGTTAACCATCAGATAATTAGCAGTGCAAAGTTATATTATTCATTGACATCAACTTTTAACTTGTTTTTTACAGGAGTCTCTGAACAAGCTGATGAAGAACTTGTACAGCACTCACCCCCACTTCGTGCGTTGTATCATCCCCAATGAACTTAAGCAGCCAGGTAAGAAAACATATTCCATTTTGTTACTGTAATGCTATAGTGTTTAATATGTGTGTGTGAGAAAGAGAGAGAGAGAGACAAAGAGAGAGTGAGAGAGAGAGGGAGAGTGAGATAGAGAGAGAGAGAGAGAGTGAGACAGAGAGACAGAGAGAGATCATATCGTTGAGTTTAAATCACTGCATGTATTTGCATCTATTGTTACAGGACTGATTGATGCTGCTCTTGTGCTCCACCAGCTTCAGTGTAACGGTGTACTAGAAGGTATCCGTATCTGCAGAAAGGGATTCCCCAGCAGAGTTATATACTCTGAGTTCAAACAGAGGTATGGAACCCTGATTTACATCCACTCCACTCAGTATGTAACAAACACTGATAAATATAACGAAAACCGGATTTTGCAAATATAATTCCAATCCCCTGGGAGTGTTGATAAAATTAATGTGCATACCTAACTGATATTGAGTGTCTTCGTTATATATCAAGTGACTATATATACTAGATGATACGATAGAGAAGTTAAATTCGCGCTAAGGACATTTTCATGATTCCAATTTCTTCATCACTAGCTGTACAATTTCGCATCAATAGGACTGCTGGTAATGCTCTGTGAACATCATGATGGGAGACCATTTGTCTTGCAGATACTCCATCCTGGCTCCTAACGCCATCCCCCAGGGTTTCGTCGAGGGCAAGGTCGTATCTGAGAAGATTCTGCTGGCCCTTCAGATGGACACAGCCGAGTACCGTCTTGGCAATACCAAAGTCTTCTTCAAGGCTGGAGTCCTTGGTTACCTTGAGGATCTCCGTGACGAGCGTCTGTCCGCCATCATCTCTATGCTGCAGGCCCACATCAGGGGTTACCTGATGCGTAAATCGTACAAGAGGCTCCAAGACAAGAGGTTTGTTACGATCAGAGGGTAGAGGCTTTTTTGCATAGCCCTTGCTATTGTTACAGTTTTGAGAGAAACCAATCTCACCACGTTCTCTCAAGTAAGATGTAACATTATTGATTTATGAAACTTCATGTCGCCTCTGTGCATCAGTCGAAGTGCATCTCTGTTCACACAAATGTGAATTGATATGGGGTAAGGTGAGATCGGAATATGAATCCAAACCTTCCAGTGTTGTTGTTGTATACTTGAACGCTGACGCTGATCCACTAATGTCAGACAGACAGACTAATGTCTTCTTCTTCTTCTCCAATATCAGTTTACATCTATAATGACAATACGTTTCCTTTCAGAACTGCCTTGTCTGTGATTCAAAAGAACATCCGTAAGTGGCTGGCCATGAGGAACTGGCTCTGGTGGAGATTCTACACCAAGGTCAAGCCCCTCCTGAACATTGCACGTGCCGAGGACGAGATGAAACTGAAGGAAGAAGAACTTGCCAAATGCAAGGACGAACTGTCCAAGGTCACTCAGAGAGGAAAGGAACTCGAGGAACAGAACGTTGACCTTCTCCGGCACAAGAATGACCTGTTCCTTCAAGTGCAGTCTCAGGGTGACACTCTTTCCGACCAGGAAGAGCGGATTGAACAACTTGTCACGCAAAAGGCTGACTTTGAACAGCAGCTGAAGGATTTGGAGGAACGTCTTTTGGATGAGGAGGATGCAAACGCAGATGCGTCAGAGCAAAGGAAGAAGTTTTTAGACCAAATTGAAGGTTACAAGAAAGATATAACAGACCTTGAGGGTAGCCTTGCAAAGGTAATTATGTGTTCTGATACGATATATTGTACTCAATAATGTATTAATGTTAAAACTGCCTACGTATGCTTTTAGAACCATTTTGAATAAATGATATTTGTATTAGGCTGAACAAGAAAAACAGACCAAAGACAACCAGATAAAGACACTCCAGGATGAGATGGCAGCTCAGGACGAACAAATCGCCAAGATGTCCAAGGGCAGAAAGGATCTCGAGGACACGCACAAGAGGACCCTGGACGATCTTCAGAAGGAGGAAGACAAGGTCAATCACCTCAACAAACTAAAGCAGAAACTTGAGGGGACACTTGATGAGGTGAGTCAATGATGTGGTTTATTCAATAACACCTACAGTCCCTTTGGCTCGAAATGAGAACGATGAATTGTAAAATAATTCAAAATCGGGAATAGTCTCTTAAATATCAATACAATACACGGCCATGTGTACCATGTATCCAACAATATCTGCTGTTTGTTATGCAAAATGCGAGAGTACCCTGCCCCATCGGTGGCACCTGCCTCAAATACATGCAAAGGCAAGTCAGTTGTTCACCTGAAAGATAGTACTTTTTGAGTGTCCCCTGTCGTGATATTGCTGGAACATTGCTTAGAGTGCTGGAAAACCATACTAACTCACTCTATCGGTCTGTTCTGGTTGAATATATATATATGCATATAAATGCATCATATGCATGCTAATTCCCTGTGTCTACATGCTATAGTTGGAGGATAATCTGGAGCGCGAGAAAAAGGTGAGAGGTGATGTTGAGAAAGCCAAGAGGAAGGTGGAGCAGGACCTAAAGGCATCGAATGAGACTGTAGAAGAACTTGACCGGGCAAAGAGGGAACTTGAAGAGGCAGGCAGAAAGTATGTCCTACAGAACTAAGCAAATAGTGTTAAACAACGTGACACAACTAAGATGTCAGTACCTGTCCAGTTTGGTTCTAACAACCATCTTAATCCTATCGACCTTGGTATTGACAGTGTCAGAAAAGGATATGTTACACGATTATTCTGGTTTTGCTCTATAAATGATGCTAAGGTAGACACAATGTTATGGACAACAACTTATAATACTGTAACAAGCGACATTTCGGTAAAGATCCTTATACCGTCATCAAGCAAGACTGAATGAGGGACATTGTACAGAATGTATATAGTAGGTGGAGGATTAACAGTAACAACAATGTCATACATGAGTAGGTTGGTTGGTTGGTTGGTTTGTTGCTTAACGCCGCACTCAGCAACAGTCTAGCTATATGACAGCGGTCTTTAAAATAATTGAGTCTGGACCAGTCAATCCAGTGATTAATATCATGAGCATCGATCACTCGATCCCGTTAGTCGCTTTGTACGACAAGCAGAGTCGCCTTTTACGGCAAGCATGGGTTGCTGAAGACCTATTCTACTCCGGAATCTTCACGGTTCTACAAGAGTAGTTATAACATGAGTAAGTGTTGACAACAGAAGGATAATACTGTCACGACACGATGGACAGAGAACACATAGTTGGAGGCCAATGGGACATGAAGCCAATTAAACAGGTTAAGTGATGCTTGACAGCCTTGCTTGAGGCTTGGTTTAAGGATCTATACCGAAATGTCGCTTATGACAGCATTAAAGAAGTTGTTATCCATAAAATTGTGTCAACCTTGTCATCTGTCAACTTCTAAGTAATGCCTATCAAACAATTTATAAATGATAATGTTAACATTTACGGACCTTGGTAATCTTTGTTCAGTAAAATAGTTTAAGACAATGCTGAATGATTCGTGTTAAAGGAAGGACCAGCAGATCAACAGCCTCAACTCCAGATTGGAAGAAGAACAATCCTTAGTTGCTCAACTCCAGAGGAAGATCAAAGAGCTTCAGGTAGAAACCGCCATTAAATCTTACAACATTAAACTTGTCATGTAAAGAAATATTATTGCATTAAACTTTAATTTGTTCATTCATGTTTTGGTTACAGTTCACCTAACATTTTTTTTATTTCTGTAACAGTAAAAAAGAATATACACTGATTCTTACCATGTAAAACGGAGAACACAATTGATTTCAGACGATGAATCGGTTATATATACGTAAGTTTGGGACCATTGAAGCGTGACCATACCCTTGTTTTGCCCATCCAATCAATGTTTATCCTTCTAGATATTATCTGTTCAAAACATCCTTCCCAAATTAATGACTCCAAAACAATTAAACAATTTGCCCATATTAATTACGTCTTGCATCCCCCAAGTATTCCCTCAGAACACAAAATCCCACACTTGACTATATGTTCTTGTTGAAACGTTGCCTTCATTGTATATTCCTCCAAACCACCACAATAATAATTCTCAATCCTCCAGGTGAGACACACATTTCCACTATTTTCCATCCCGATTGAAGTTATCCAATTGTCCTATCTGAATACCTTATTACCCTCTCCTTGTACTAAGTCCAGCACTCTTCAAAGAAAGCCTTCTCCCACGAGGAAGAACCACTGTCCTGGTATAAATAATTAAGCATTCATTATTGTGATAACTCATTTCAACATATATTCATATTCATATTCAACGTATACATTACAGGAACCCTGGCCATTTCTTTATATCTATGTTTGCTTATCTGCTGCCAATATCCATCTAAATCCAAAGTGCCAATTGTCATGGTAACGTAATATCACTCTTGAGCAAAGGACATGTTCATATTCTGATATAGTGGGCGGTGATTAAGAGATTGATCCATGTGTCGTGAATGAACAATAATTCACCATAAATTGATGCTTGACAGGCCCGTATCGAGGAGCTTGAGGAGGAATTGGAGGCTGAGCGATCTTCCAGAGCAAAGGTCAGTAGCAGCCAGATAGTACAAATTGCTAAAATCACGCTAATCCTATACCTGGACAATTTGTCAGAAATAGTGTTTATTATTCATATAATTGAATAGATACAACATGTAATACCGTTGACAACAACCGTTCCGGTCAGTCTGTTTCAATCTAATCGCATGTATTAGATATTTGATTGTCTGATTTGTCTCTTTCCAACAGTCTGAGAAACAGAGAAATGATTTGTCTCGAGAACTCGAGGAGATTGGAGAACGTTTGGACGAAGCTGGTGGAGCCACTTCCGCTCAGGTTGAACTAAACAAGAAGCGTGAACAGGAGCTCCTGAAGCTCCGTCGTGACCTTGAGGAGTCCACCATGCAACACGAGGCTCAGGTATCTACACTCCGCAAGAAGCAAACTGACGCTACCAACGAGCTCAGTGAGCAGGTCGATCAACTGCAGAAGGTCAAGAGCCGGTAATTAATTACAATGATTGGTTCCTTACATTGATCCTTAAAATCAGTAACTGATTTTATTTTGTTCATGAATTAATGATGTAGCGATAGTGGAGTGCTTGTGTTGTGTGTTAAGCATTACAATAATGTCTAAAAAGAACGAGCATTGTTCACTGCAGTCATACAGGAACTCTGCAATAGCCTAATAGTAAAAATGATGGCTCCTCAAGTCGAAAGCCCGGGTTCAATTCTCAACAAGGTGTCACTGTGCAAAGCACATTATAGCATCACATGCTACGATACGCCTGCAATATGGCTGACAGTGGCATGAAACGATTTTCGATCATCAACAAACTCATGATGTTATATCGATGTTAGGGTTGGATACATTCTGACACTGTAATTTCAGTCTGGAGAAGGAGAAAAACCAGATGAAGGGAGAGATCGACGACTTACAAAATCAGGTCGAATATGTCAAGAAAAACACTGTAAGTTCTTTTCTTTCTAATATGTTGGTCAATGCAGCGACAGCTTCTCTAACCCAAATATGTACCCTAGTAATGTATTAAGACTTCCAAACTATTCTAATCACCAGGGCATGTCCACCAAGCTTTCGAAACAGATGGATAACCAGCTGTCAGAACTAAACTCCAAGATCGAGGATGGTCAACGACAGATCAGTGACCTCCAAAGCCAGAAGAACCGACTCCAGAACGAGGCTGTTGAGACAACTCGTCAGCTGGAGGAGGCGGAACACAAAGTCGGCCAACTCACCAAGGACAAGAATGGACTGCAGAATGCACTCGATGATACCAAGAGAAGCCTGGAGGATGAGACTAGAGTAATACATCATTTACAAATTCCTTTGATTATAATCATTCATAGTGTTCTAGACCCGGTTGTATCAAACTTTAATGATGCCATTAACTAATGGTGCATTAAGCATTTAATGTTTCATTAGGATTTAATGTAGCCATTAGTTAATGAGGCTTTGATACAACCGGGTCCTGGATACCTACACTGGTTTCGGGGGCGCTTTAATGGCAATAATACTTATGAGAACTAACAGAACAGTGCTAAAGTAGATGTCAGTGCGATTTCAATACAGTAAACTACGGTTATAACAAACACGCTTATAACGAACTGACGGATATAACGAACTTACTTTTTTGGTCCCGACTATTTGTTGTAGTTATGCTGTATATATGCTTATAACGAACTACGGTTATAACGAACTAAAATTAGTAGTCCCTTTGAGTTCGTTATAACCGTAGTTTACTGTATGTCTGAAAGTCGATAAAAAAGGGTTCCATTGCATCAGATTGACATCGTCCCAAAGATGTACATACAGTAAACTACGGTTATAACGAACACGCTTATAACGAGCTGACCGATATAACGAACTTACTTTTCAGTCCCGGCCTTTTGTTGTATATATGCTGTATATATGCTTATAACGAACTACGGTTATTATGAACTAAAATTAGTGGTCCCTTTGAGTTCGTTATAACCGTAGTTTACTGTAGATCCATCGTTACATCGTACTGTTTTGTTAATTTGAAGATAGCTTATTGTCAAAAGGGAAAATGGATCCCATGTTGTGAAAGGACGATAGTGTTATGTGACAACAGTAGTTAAACAGAAGTATCTTCTACCTTCACCTCGTCTGTGCAGGCTCGCCAGAAGCTCCAG